GTCCAGGCTGTGCTGCTGGACTGCCACCAGTGAGGCAGATAGAGTTCAGGCTGGCCTTGAACTCAAGATCCTCCTGCCTCAGTCTCTGGTGCTAAAGAGTGTGGCTGTGTGCTCTATCATATGAGCTGATTACTCAAGGATTGTGTAGGGAACCCTTAAATACAAGAAACACACACATATACATACACAGAGTTATGATTTAAATATAAAACGTCAAGCCGGAGCCAGGCGTTGGTGGTACACACCTTCAATCCCAGCACTCGGGAGGCAGAGGCAGGCAGATCTCTGTGAATTCGAGACCAGCCTGGTCTACAAGAGCTAGTTCCAGGACAGCCTCCAAGGCCACAGAGAAACACTGTCTCAAAAAAATAAATAAGTGAATGAATAAATAAATACATAAAATGTTGCCACAGTGGGGTTGGAGACATGGCTCATCAGTTAAGAGTGCCTGCTGCAATTGCAGAGGACCCAGGTTTGATCCCCTACACCCACATGATAGCTTATAACCAATCTGTAACTCCAGTTCCAGGAGATCTGGTGCCTTCTTCTGACCTCCAAGGGTTCCAGGGTACACACACACACACACACACACACACACACACACACACAGTTAACTTACATATGTGCAAGCAAAACACTAATACAGTTTAAACAATTAAAGAGATTGAAAGAAAAAGTGAACCAGGTGGTGGTGGCACACGCCTTCAATCCCGGCACTCCGGAGGCAGAGGCAGGTGAATCTTTGTGAGTTTGAGGCCAGCCTGGTCTACAGAGTGAGTTCCAGGACAGCTGGGGCTGTTACACAGAGAAGCCCTGTTTTGAAAACCAAAAAGAAGGAAGGGAGGGATGGAGAGGAAGGAAAAGAGAGAGAGAGAGAAGAAAAAGCGCACACAGGCTCCTGTGTTGAATGCTTGCCTCCGCTCCTGACGGTGCTATTTCTGAAGGTTCTGAAAACTTTAGAAGGCAGGTTCTAGTTGAGAAAGTAAATGCCCTGCCTCACAGAGAATAGAGTGAGTCTAAAAAGCTGATGGAAGCAGTAGGTTTGAGTACAAAATAGGGCTTGTCAATTTCACTCTTCCCGTGAACAACATGGCTAAGTTTGCTTATAGAGCCGTAAGGATCCCGTGTTTGGAAGCCAGCCAGAAGAAGAAAAGGAGGAGGAGGGGAAGAGAGAATGAGAGAGAGAGAAAAAGAGGAGAAAGGAGAGAGAGAGGAGAAAGGGAGAGGAGAGAGAGAGGAGCGGAGGGAGGAAGGGAATGTGTAAACCATTCTGTCATTACCTCTTGGAAAAATAAACCCATTTGCTGGATGGTGGGTGTGGCTCTGAGGTTGGGTATGTCCTTAGCAGGAGGGGGTCCAGGGCTCATTCCCCAGCACAGAAAACAGGAACTTGCGTGGCCACCAGATTGACAGTGATGTGTCCTTCCCTGGCCTGTGGCCCTCCTTTTTACTGCTGCCCCCTCCTCCGGCCACTACAAAGTTTCTGCTGAGGTAAGGGACACAGTGGAAGTAGCTAGGCCCGCCCCCTCCTTGTCTCCTTTTGCCAAATTTACTTCTTCAATTTCTAAAGAAGTTTTATTTCTGTACATGAATGTTTTCCCTGCATACATCCATGCGCCTGAAGAGACCAGAGGAGCTGTGACCCTGTGAGTGCTGGGAATTGAACCTGGGTCCTCTGGAAGAGCAGCCAGGGTTCTTAGCTGCTGAGCCGTCTCTCCAGCCCCTCTACTTCTTTAATATTTTCTTTCACAACTTAATGAGCTTGACCAAAGCCATCTATTATGCTGTCGTCTCCTGTCCCTACCACAGAACCCTGCTTCTTCACAAGGTCCCTTATGCTTTCAAGTCGGGGTGTGTGTGTGTGTGTGTGTGTGTGTTTAGTTAATGCTGCTTGCACAAGCATGTGTTAGGAGTTACTTGAGCAAGGGCAACTATTGTGCACCTGTCCTCCAAGCCACGCACGTGCCAGGCCGTTCTGGGCCAGTCAGCTGCGCTTGTTATCCCAGCTGGGCTTGTGGACTATTTCTCACCAGCACTCCTCCATGCAAAGGGTCACAGGACCCTCACCTGACTATCCACCTCCCAAGACCTGCCGTTTGAACTCTGCCTTAATTGCAGAAGGCCTCCGGAGGGGCTGTAGGAACCAGGTAGAGAGGCAGAATTGGATCTCAACAGGCTGGGATTGCTTTGTTGGAACCGTGAGTGGCCCCAACCTTCCCTCGGGATGAAGGTTGGGAATGCTTAGAAGGGGCTGGGGGACAGGGATATATGCATGCTGCCAGGTTATAACCATTTTTCTATTTGACAGGAGCAGGGTGGCTTGTTTTCAATACCCGGGCATATTGCTTTTGCAGGTGGGGCAGAATGGTCAGACTGCAGCCAAGCAATTCCTTATGGCTAGGGGCTACTGCCTTGGACAGCCTGACTGAGTTCCTCATGCCAGGAGGTGGCTACCCAAATACTGTGTGTGGCTATCCTCCAAGCCAAGCAGCTGCCATTCGGGGCATTCAGCTGTGCTTCCTTGTTAAAGGGTACCCCAGCTGGGCTTAAGTGTTGACAGCTGATACCATGGAGGGCTGAGGAGGGTCACAAGACCCTCACCTGGGGGAGCTGCACATGGCCTTGGGAAGGAGGAAGGGGCTAGAGTAGGCAGGCTTGGGAAGGGAAGGGAGCATTCATTCCTGCTGGTGAAGGGTCTCCACTTATCCTATGCCCCTGTAAGTAACCTCACCTATGAACTTTGGTGGAATCTTGTCCTAGGGACCTTAGGAGGAGGCGGCATAGGTTTTGTTTAGTCTCATCACTGGGAAGGGGTTTTAGTGAGCACAACTTCATACCACTAGCACTGAGAACAGAAGCAATGGCTTCTTAAGCCCTTTCCTCCATAACTAGTTGCCCCTGAGCATCTCCTTCCTCTCTGTGACATGAAATATCTCTTAGCAATGCAGGAAGGGTACGGGTCCCCTCTCTCCTCATCTTATCACAAGAGGGAAGCCCACCAAGGGCTATGTAATGCCAGCATGTCCCTGAGGACAAACTAGCCAAGGAGCTGTAGCTCACGTGGGAGGACCTCCCTAAGCCATGAGCACAGCTGTCTTGGGAGGAGGGATGCTTTCCTCAAGGGACATTGCACCCTTCTTCTAACTCAAATATTGAAATTACAGGTGCCAAGACAGACTCTCCCAGGCATCTTGTGCTGGGGGAAGACAAAGGCTGAGGCCTAGTTCCTTCCCAAGGAGGAACTTGTCTCTCATGAATACGTCTCGTACAGTTCTAACAATTTCAAAACATCTGACAGCCTAGACAGTGACGGCAGAAACACACTGGAACAGCGCCGCTTAGCTATGCGTATCCCTGGCTCTACACTCAAACTTCAGGTCAGCCCTGGACAGGCTGTGGGTCTCAGCAGACCTCTTCCCTTGCTCTTCCCAATGTGGACACATTGGATAAAGGTCTTTTCTGTGCTTCTGACTGTTTAGTTGGCCTATTGTGGGCAGGTGACTGAGACTCGCTGCTCAAGTCTGACCCAAGAGATTGCTTTCTTTCTCGCCTTTAATTTTATATTACTATTAGGCTTTTCTTTTTTTTTTTTAATAATTTATTCCTAGTTTATGTACATTGGTGTTTTGCCTGCATGTATGTCTGTGTGAGAATGTTAGACCTCCTAGAACAGGAGTTACAGACAGTTGTGAGCTGCCATGTGGGTACTGGGAATTGAATCCCGGGCCTCTGGAAGAACAGCCAGTACTCTTTACCACTAAGCCATCTCTCCAGCAACCTATTATTTGGTTTTTCAAGACAGGGTTTCTCTGTGTAGCCTTGACTGTCCTGGAACTTGCTCTGTAGACCAGGCTGGCCTCAAACTCACAGAGATCCGCCTGCTTATACCTCCTGAGTGCTGAGACTAAAGGCATGCCATCATGCCTGGCAAAAAAGAAATTCCTTTAAAATGCCATTCTTGCCAGGCTGTGGTGGTACACACCTTTAATCCCAGCACTCGGGAGGCAGAGTTGGGAGGATCTCTGTGAGTTCAAGGCCAGCCTGATCTACAGAGTGAGTTCTAGGATAGCCAGGGCTACACAGAGAAACCCTGTCTCAAAATACCAAAATAAAAATAAAATGTCATTCTTGGAGCTGGAGAGGAGTCAACAGTTAAGAGCACTTGTTGCTCTTCTAGAGGTCTCAAGTTCAGTTCTCGGCACCCAAACTCTCAGCTGCCTGTAACTCTACAGGGGATCCAATGCTCTCTTCTGGCCTCCAAAAGCACTTGAGCATACATGGCTGAGTGCACACACACAATCTATAAATTCACTGTCCTTGTGACTAATAAAAACAACCAGACCTCAGGCCCCTCCAAGGATCCAGTCAAAGGCCCATAGGTTTTTTACCCCCATAGGCCAATCCTCCCCATGTGTGTCAATTTATTCCTCTATAATTTCTGGGAGCCAGGGACAGGAGGGTTACAAGTCTGAGGCCAGCCTGCCTGGTCTACACAGTTCAAAGCCAGTCAGGGCTAAATAGAAAGATCCTGTCTTCAGATGAGTAACGCTCCCTCCAGACCAGCACCGGAACCAGGAGCCCCAGCTTCCTAATTTTGTTTTGGGCTCGCTCACCAGCCATCAGCAAGACTCCTTCCTTCCATCTGCCACCCGCCATTCCTGTTCCCAAATGTAGCCGCATCTTGTCTTCTGTCCCGCGTTCCCTCTCCTCTTGGATTGGTATGTCTTCCCACATCACTTTTTCTGTCTCTCCTTGAGTTGAGAGGGCCATCTAGACAGTCCATGTTGTCATGGAGACTCCGGCCCACCAGATCTTCCTGGTCCCACCAGGTAGGACACCGAAGGTGAGTGAGGGTGGAGTTGAGGATTGCTATCACGCTGTAGCCAAGTCAAGCTTCTGGCTCCCAGCGTCACCAAACCTTCCTGCCTGTAAGTGAGGCAGGTGGCAGCCATGGGTGGATTCCCAGAATCCCTGGGTCTGGGATGTTGGGGGCAGGGCTAGGTGCTGGACAAACAGATCAAAGGTGAGTGAGTCTGGGCCTGCAGAGCTGGGGGACACATCATGAGGTGAGCGAGCGGCCATGGCCTCTGGGGGAGCAGGAGGGTTAGGCCTGGACCTCACATCCCTCCTCTGCCCACAGGCTGCTGATTTTCCTGGGCCTGCTTTGGAGCTTGGTGACCATACTTTTGGCCTCAAAGTGGCCTGAGCCTGTATTCGGACGCCTGGTGTCCCCTGGCTTCCCAGCGAACTATGCCAACAATCAGGACCGGTCCTGGAAGCTGACGGCACCCCCCGGCTACCGCCTACGCCTCTACTTCACCCATTTTAGCCTGGAACTGTCTTACCGCTGTGAATATGACTTTGTCAGGGTACCTGACGGGATCCGTGGCTGGGGACCTCTTATGCGGTACGGCAAAGTCTGACCAGGAGACAGGGCAGGCCTGGGTCTAACCTTCTCTCCCTCTGACCCCACAGTTGAGCTCAGGGACCAAGGTGCTAGCCACACTGTGTGGGCAGGAGAGTACAGATACTGAGCGGGCGCCTGGCAACGACACCTTCTACTCACTGGGTCCTAACCTGGAGGTCACCTTCCACTCGGACTACTCCAATGAGAAGCCATTCACAGGCTTTGAGGCCTTCTATGCAGCGGAGGGTGAGCAGTAGTGGGCCCGGGCTGGCCAGCTGCAGCTGGGGTGACTGTTGTCTTAGCCTCATCCCCATCTTTGGCTCTCTTGGCTCCCACTTCTCCTGGGGCTCTGGATTCAGGTCAAACCATCAGGAAAGGTGAGCCCTGCCATGGCCTGGCACCCTCCATATGAATGCAGGGACAGAGTCTGGATGTTATAATGCACGAGGTGAACCTTGGCAGATTCCATGGCAGGCGAGGGTGACTGAGGCCGGGAACAAACACGCCAGGCAGACAGAGCTTAAGTGAGAAGTTTTATTAGAAAGGGACAGGGTGGGGGTGGGAAGGAGAGAAGAGACACAGAGACAGGACAGAAGTGAAGAGAGAGACAGGGCAACAGCAGGAAAAAGCAAGCACCTGTGTGCAGACTAGTACTCCCTGAGTGCACTCTGCCAGGTCCTGCCTGAGTCCTCGCTGGTGTCTGCTAATGAAGTAACAATGTCGTACAGCCCTGATCAGGTTACAAAGAGCTTGCACAGGCCTCGGCATGTGACCTCACACTTGACTGCACACTCTGGTCCCTGAAGGGACTATCTGTGTGACTTCAGGCAAGTGGCGCCAGCTCTCAGTGGCTCAGAAGGCTGCTGCATGGGGTCCACGGAGCCTCACCTACCCTGATTTCCACTGGGTTGATGGTGGCTGTTCCTCTCACTGGTTTAGCAAGGGTGCAATTTGCATCTCTGCCTAAGGCCTGTGAACTGCCAAGCAGCAGGGCTCCTCTCAAGTGGTCCACCAAGGCCTGAGCTCTGTTCCATCTCCTCCCTCCTGCCTGCCTGGCCCCACCCCTCCCTAGATGTGGATGAGTGCCGAGTGTCCCTGGGAGAAGATGTCCCTTGTGACCATTATTGCCACAACTACCTGGGCGGCTACTACTGCTCCTGCAGAGCGGGCTACATTCTTCACCAGAACAAGCACACCTGTTCAGGTGAGGGGGTGGGCATCTATCACCACCAGGTTGCTCTAGGTCCCCCAGGCAGGAGCTGTTCTGCTCAGAAGGCTGGGCTCTTGTTCTCTCCCACTCTACTGGTGTACCTGACTCCTCCCCCAGCCAGTGGCGTCCTCCTCCTGGGTGGTTCCTGGCTAGGCTTGGCATCTCTGACTAAGCCTGGCACACCTTGAGTTTCCCTTCTATGGAAGACCCTCAGGGCAGGCAGGCTCAAAGCCACGGTTCCCAGCCCCAGCCCCTGAACCCGTTGGCCTCCTCTACCCTGTTTCTTGGTCCTCTGCCCTGGCCCTGCTCTCCCCAGTCTTTCTGATGCCCCCATCTCTCTTCCAGAGCAGAGCCTCTAACCTCCCTCACCTCCAGCCCGCCCACCCAATGGGTCAGATATCAGTGCAACCCACACACCGCAGCTCTGTGTCAGTCTGGAATGGCTGCCAGCTACAGCAACCATGCATCTTACTATAACGATAATAAATCTGCCTCCTTCTCCACCGTGGCTGTGTGTCTCTTGGGAGTGGGGGAGTAGCTGGAGGACAGGAGAGCAACCTGAGTCCTTTCATCTTAACCCTCACAGCAGTTTGGTGGGAGCCCTCTCCAGGGCCATAGGCACTTGCAAAGGGCTTGCTTTAAGCCCCTTATTTTGTGGCTGGGACACTGAGTGGGCAGGGATTAGCCTCTGTTTGGTTCGCATAGGGAGACCCTCCTCTCTCTGCTGGCTCCCCTGGGGCTGATCTCAGGACATCTTTAGCCCGGTCTTGTTATAGGGCAATGCAGAGCTTGATTCAAAACAGACAGCAAGGGGGCATTGCCCAGGGGGCAACCTCTTTCTCAGGAGAGAGCAGCCTCATGGAAAAAGGGAAATTTTCACTGCCTTACCAGTCTGCTCCCTTTCTGGGGGACCTTTCTAAGAAAGGAGGGGGCAGACTATTTGCATACTGGTGACATAAACTCCCCTCAACTGTCCCCAGGGTCACTTCTAAGAACAAGGAAGGCCAGGCAGGGGAAAGCCTTTTCCAGCTTGTTCTCTGGGATCAAGGGCCTTGGGCTGGTCCCTGCCAGACATGGCGGAGCCCCCTTGTGGACTCCCTTAGGAACTGATGAGGTGGACACTGGAGTGATTTCAGAGCAGGAAAAAGCCGACCCCTCCTTCCTTTCCCTGAATTCCTAAGGACCTCGGGGAAGTAGCCTGCCTCCTCCTCCCAGGCCCGCCCTCTTCCTTTGCTGCCACCTCTTTAGTTGTGACTCTGACCCTGGGGTAGGAGTTTGCTACCCTGCTTCAGCGAAGGCCTGAGGGCAACAGACCCCCCCCCCCAAGCTTAACTGTCTTTCGGCATCGTTTAGGGTGGTAGTATAGGTGCTCTGTTTGTCAAGCGTAGGGTCTTGACCAAACCCAGGACATGGATGTCCCAGGTAGTTCTGTTTCCCCATGAGTCATGCCATCTTGTCCTCTCTCCTCCCCAGCCCTGTGTTCAGGCCAGGTGTTCACTGGGAGGTCTGGGGAGCTCAGTAGCCCGGAATACCCACAGCCATACCCCAAACTCTCCAGCTGCACCTACAGCATCCGCCTGGAGGAGGGCTTCAGTATCACCCTGGACTTTGTGGAGTCCTTCGATGTGGAGGCGCACCCTGAAGTCCTGTGTCCCTATGACTCCCTCAAGGTCTGGTCCCTGCCCCCTTACCTCCCTTAGCTTGTCATGGCTCATTTGTTTCAACCCTGCCTCCAGTGAATCCTTCAGTCTTTATGGGGAGGGTGTTCTAAACCTGGTTGTGGCTTCAGCATCCAGGACAGGGTACCCACCTTTTGTCCCTGGCCTGCCCCAGCCGATTTCAGTTGGTGTGCATCCCTCTAACATAGGCCTCAGACCCCTCCAGCAGTTCCTGGGGCTTCAGAGTCTCTTTGTTCAGATCCAAACAGACAAGGGGAAATACGGCCCATTTTGTGGGAAGACGTTGCCCCATAGGATTGAGACGAACAGCAACAGCGTGATCATCACATTTGCCACTGATGAGTCGGGGAACCACACAGGCTGGAAGATACGCTACACAAGCACAGGTGGGCAAGTGGCTCTCAGGTCCAGGCAACAAAGCAAACAGCTTCTGTCCCTGATGCAGCACCTACAAACTACACAGCCCTGGATGCTTTCCTGGTCAGGCCAAGGAAGGGAGCCCAGATGGAGAGTGGGGTGGTCCTTGATGGGGAAACGGCAACAGTCTTTTCTTCTTTCCCTTCACCCAGGCAGCCATTTACCTGGGAAACCTCCGTCTTTCCTCAGTTCTGGTATCTTGAGATAGGGTCCAACTCTGTGGGTCAGATGGTCCCAAACTTTCTTCACAGCACTGGCTGTCTTTAAAGTTGGGTCTTCCCGACTCGGCCCAAGTGCTGGGATTCCAGGTCCACGTTTCCCTCTATCTTATCCCCATTCACCCACACACCACCCACCCACTCACCTGTCCCCTTCCCCACCCACCTCACTTCCTATCCATATGCAGTAAGGGTGAAGCTGCAGCTCAGCAGTACAAGGCCCTGTGCTCAGCTCAGCCCTCTCATCTTTAAAAAGATGCACATGAAGGATACGAAATGCAGAAGCCAGAGTCCCCAACAGTCTCTGCCCTGATCAGAGGGGAAAATGTTAGTCTCTGTGGCACTGCCTTTGAGGCAAGTGCTGAGACTACAGATTGATTCTCCAAGGGAGGGACATGCCACTGTCACTTAATCTCAGTCTTGTTCTTTTCCTTGAAGTGACATTCTTGGTTTCAAACCACGTGTCATCTTACTGGCATAGAGAGCTCAATCATTTTACATACCTGGTTTTCCTTTTTTTTTGGGGGGGGGGGTTGTTTCACAACAGGGCTTCTCTGTGTAACAGCCCTGGTTGTCCTGGAACTCACTTTGTAGATCAGGCTTGCTTTGAACTCAGAGATCCATTGGCCTTTGCCTCCCAAGTGCTGAGATTAAAGGTGTATGCCACCACACGCAGCTCCTGGTTTTTTCTTTTCTTTCTTTCTTTTTTTTTTTTTTTTTTAATAATTTGACCACTTTATGTGCAGATCACTTGGGACTGGAGTTACAGACAGCTGTGAGCTGTCATGTGGGTGCTGGGAATTGAACTTTGACCCTTTGGAAGAACACCCAGTGCTCTTAAGCACTGAGCCATATCTCCCTCTAGTCCCATCTTTTTTCTTTTTCTTTTTTTTCCAAGACAGGATTTCTCTATGTAGCCCTGGCTGTCCAGGCACTTGCTCTATAAACCAGATTGGCCTCAAATTTAGAGATCCACCTGCCTCTGCCTCCTAAGTGCTGGTGTGCCACCACACCTGGCAATTTTTTTTCACGTTTTCTTATTTTAAATTGCGTATTCACTTTTCACAACAACCCAGTTCTCCCTCTTCCTTCTCCCCCTCCCCCAAGAAAATTGAACATATGCCACTCACATGTGCAGATGCCCCTGCAGGACAGAAGGGTCAGATCCCTTGAAGCTGGGGTTACACATGGTTGTGAGCCACCTAGATGTGATACCAAAACTGGAGGCCTCTAGAAAGCAGTGTTCTTAACTGCTGCACCATCTTTCCAGTCCTGTAGCTGGGTCATGGACGAAGAAACAAGTCTTAATTTGTGCAAGTGACTAAGCTTAATTTTGCCTTTGGTATTAAATGTTAAGACCACCACCACACTTGAGGCAGGCTCTCTCCGCCTCTTATTTCATTTATAATAAAGAATGTAGATTGCTAAATTCAGACCTGGCTGTTACAGACTTCAAAAATAAATAAGTCTGTTTCCTCTACACAGCACAGCCCTGTCCTGATCCAACGGTGCCACCTAATGGTCACATTTCACCAGTGCAAGCCAAGTATGTCCTGAAGGATAGCTTTTCCGTCTTCTGCAAGACTGGCTTTGAGCTTCTCCAAGTGAGTCACCAAAAACTAAGTGTCTATGGCCATGATAGCTTTGAAATTCAAGATGAAAATGGGAAGTGCCCATGCAGAAAAAAAATAGTAGTAAGTTTTCAGCAAACAGAGCAATGGCTATGGAGAATCTTTTTGGGGAGTGTCGTGGGGAAGAATTCTGCCTTTCATTTTTGTTTTGAGGCAATTTGGTTATGTAGTCCAAGCTGGCCTGGAACTGTGTAGTCCAGGCTAGCCTCAGTTTAAAATCCTCCTGCCTCATCCTCCCAACTGTTGAGATGATTATCATGTGCCATCACAAGTAGTTGTCTTTAAAAATTTTTGTTACTTTGTTCTAATTTTTTTTTCAATGCTTATTTTATGTGCACTGGTGTTTTGCCTGTGTGGTTTGTCTGTGTGAGGGTGGCAGATCCCTTGGAACTGGAGTTGCAGGTGTAAGTTGCCATGTGGGTGCTAGAAACGAACCTGGGACCTCTGGAAGAGCAAGAGCAACCTGTGCTTTTAACTGCTAAACCATTATCACTCCAGCCCTTTTTGTTTTGTTGAGACAGGGTTTCTCTGTGTAGTGCTGCATGTCCTGGAACTCACTTTGTAGACCAGGCTGGCCTCCAACTCAGATATCTGCTTGCCTCTGCCTCCTGAGGGCTAGGATTAAAGACATGCAGCACCACACCCAGCTGTTACCTTTTGAGCCATGAGCTCTTTGACTTCCTGTTCCGGGTTCTCCAATGCTGGATTATAGGTGTACGTGGTCACACTCACTTGGAAGTTCTACTCTTGGTGCTGAAAGCTAACTCACACTAAGTGTGCCTGCACCCCCACACCCCGGTGTGTTGTAAAGGCCTTTAGAGAGCTAGTCATTAAAAGAACTGTTCATCTGCACACTGCAGCAGCTCTCTGGAAAGTGGCTGAAACAACAGAAAGGCGTCTGCTCACCTGGTGCCCCATGAGCTCTGCGGAGGGAGCTCCTGTTAAATTAAGTCTTCTCTGCTCAGTTGACGACCTTCCTGGGGAACAGCTCCTGGGCCCACAAAGATTAGGCAGCCCTGGAAAGAGTACATTCTGCAAAGTTATAAATAGTGCTCACTGATAAGGGAGAGAGAATATAATTTTAAAAACTGCTTAGCATGTGGCTTCGGGGCACAGGTAAGAGATTAACTCGGGTTCTTCAAAATGGTAAGTGAATCCCAGTGGTAAAAAGCAATAACCCTGGAATGACAGCAGGGTTGGAGTCCTGTCTGTAGAGGGGCAAATTGGGCAAGTCCCACTTGAAACCTCTTGGTCAGACTCTTCCACTGTTTCTTGCCTGCAAGACCGCAAACTTGTTCAACTGTTTTGAAACAGCTTCATGTAGCCCAGGCTGGCCCTGGACTTGCTGTAGCTGAGGATGACCTTGTCCTGATCCTCTTCTACATCCCCAGTGCTAGGATTGACATGTCCCATCATGCCCAGTGTATGTGGTACTTTGGGCCAAACCCAGCACTTAGCAGTTGCTAATAAATGATAAACACAGAAGGTACAGATTGCTTTAATTGAAAAAAATACAGCCTTTGAAACATTACAGCTTTTACAAATGGCACCCTCTTCTGCTAATGTGTACTCTCTCTGGACTATGCAGACCATAGACCAGGCTGGTCTCAAACTCAAGAGATCTGCATGCCTTAGGTAAGTGTACACCACCACACTTGGCTCAATGGTGGACATTACTTCAGGGACATGTGTTTGTCTTGGATTAAAGGTGTGTACTGAAACAGCTTGACTTAAGCAACTGATCTCTGCAGCTTTTTGCAAACACTGGCACTTCATTTTTTGGGGGGTGGTAGGGTTGTGACAGAGGAGCCCTGACTGCCTGGAACTTGATTTGTAGGACCAAGCTGGCCTTGAACTCAGATCTGTTTGTGCCTCCTTGAATGCTGCGATCACTGGCCCTGCCGCCGTGCCAGGCCCTTTTAAAAATGCCTTTTATTTATATGTGTGATTGCAGATGTACCAGTGAGTGCAGGTCAGAGGACAAACTTCTAGGTGTCAGTTTTTTTTTTTTTTTTTTTTTTTTTTTACCATGTAGGTTCCAGATCTCAAATTCAGGTTGTCAGGCTTTGGCAGCCAGCTACTTAACCTTATCCGAAGAGCCATCTCACTGGCCCCGTCTGGCCCTTTGTATAAGAAACAGAGAAGGTTGGAGAGATGACTAAGCAGTTGAACACACTTGCTGTTCTTGCAGAGGACTGGAGTTCAATTCCCAGTGCCTGCATGGTAGCTTGAAACCTAAGTCTTTTCAGGGGGTTCAAGGCTGCCTTCTGACCTCTTTAGACACTAGGCACAAAGGTATACATACATGTATGCAAGCAAAATGCTCAAACCCATAAAACAAATCTTAAAAATATTTTAAGTGGTGTGTGTGATTATGCAATCTTTAATCCCAACATTCAGAAGGCAGCAGATAGACTTCTTTGAGTTCAAAAGTAAGCCTGGTCTTCAGAGTTCCAGGACAGCAGGACTTAAAAAAAAAAATAGTGGAAGGGGGCAGGGGCTAGTGTCGTCCCCCCCACCCCACCCCAAGAAAATGAGAAGAGTGCACTGGCAGCAACATGGAGCCAGGATTCTAGGGGGCACTGCAAGCAGCATGTGGTAAGAGCAGTCAAGTTATTAGTGTGTATGATGTCACCATGGCACTGGTGACGAAACAATGTCCGGGTCCAGGCCTTACATGGTTGCTGCCCTCCGTGGGAGCACTGGTCTGGGGGGTGACCCTGATGTTCACAGGGAACTCATTTTCCAAATTTCCCTTCCAGGGTTCTCTGCCCCTGAAAACATTCACTGCTGTCTGTCAGAAAGATGGATCCTGGGACCGGCCAATACCAGAGTGCAGCAGTACGATCATGGTGACCTCTTTCCCTTGCTGCCACCTGTACCATTTCTGTGTTGTCCCTTCACGTATACATACATGAAGGCACGTGTAGTTAGAGCAGTGGTTCTCAATCTTTCCAATGCTGCAGCATTTTCATTGTAATGCCATAACTGCAATTTTGCTGTTATGAATCATAACATATCCATTTTCCAATGGTCTTTGGCAACTCATGTAAAAGGCCGTTCAAAACCCCAAAGGCTGAGAACCTGGGTTAGAGGATGCTTAGCATCTACCCCCAATCTTAGAAAGCACATGGCCATGTCTGGGTTTTGCTGGGTGCTGGGGACCTCAACTTGTCTATGCTTGTGCAGAAAGCTTTCCATTCTTAACAGCAATCTCCCCAGCCCCCATCCTCACTTCTGTGGCTTCTCTAGTCATTCCCAGCTCACCACCAAGTGAATCATTTATTAGAGCTGGGATCCCAGATTTACTTCCACTCAGAGCTCTGGGCGAAATACTGGGGAGTGTAAAATGGCGCTCTTACAGACAGAAGAAATGTCGGGAAAACCCTGAGCCTCTTAATGCCTATCACTCTCCAGCCAAGTGTGACACTGCTCGCATCCCGACCCCGCCATCATGAGCAGCATAAGTAGGAATGGGCAGGTTCTGTAGTGTGCACACCTACACAATTACATGTGTAGTACCTTTTCCACTACAAAAGTACACATATTTGGGAACAGAAACTTCTAAAACCAAACAATGGAAGGGGCTCAGTGGCAGAGACTCACTTGCCTGGCACTCATGAGACCCTTCCTCCAATTCTGAGCTGGCACACACCCATGACTGTGCACATATAGTAGTACAGGACTTTTGTAACAAGGTCTGGGAGAAACTTGTCTGACCCTGCCACTGTTTGCTGTGCAGGTGTAGACCTGTGGCACAGCAGAGTAGCCACAATGGAAACAGTAACAGTAGCTGGCACAGGGCTGCTCTCCTCTCCGAGGGCCCTGGCTCAAATCCCAGGACCCATGTGGCAGCCCACACTTGTCACTCCAGGTCTTCTGACACCTTCACACACATGTACATGTAGGCAAAATACCAATGAACATAAAAGTAAACAGTGTTTGAGCCACAGTGTTGGCTTAAAGACAGGGGACAGAAAAATTCACCTCTCAGGGTCCCTACAAAGCTCATGCTTTGAATAGGACCACAGAAACTAGTCCCTTAGTTTACTGGTTTAAGTCACACAGGAACACTGGCCTATTTTCTACCTTCTGCGCACCATTTCTTTTGTGAGTGAGCTATGCATGAGTTCCCTCCTCTGTAGGGAAGTCCTTGCAGTGAAGAGCTACTGAGCTATTCTTGCTGCTTTTACAAGTGGCATCAGTGCCATGCACCATGTAGAGGGAGACAGCACAAGGCCCACCTGGCTCCCCAAGTCCCAGAGAGCATTCTGGGCATCTGTGCCATTCAAGTACCGAACCAAAACCACACTGTCCACCCTGAGTACAGCTCCAGGGTGCAAAGGCATTCTTCCCTGTTTTACTAGTTGTTGACTGTGGCCCTCCTGATGATCTATCCAATGGCCACATGAACTACATCACAGGCCCGGAAGTGACCACCTACAAGGCCATCATTCAGTACAGCTGTGAAGAGACTTTCTACACAATGAAGGGAGATGGTAAGTACTTTCTTCAAGGAGGGGTAGGTGATTTGAAACTTTAGTCCTTAAGGTTGAATAGAAACTTGAACCAGATTTTTGGCTAAGGGAAACAAAGGCTTAAAAGGCCTTTCTCCCTTGTGCTAAGTGAAATATTACAGTTAAAGTGACTTTAATGTCAATTTGCAAGAATCTGAAAACAGATCTTATCTAGTAAATGACTACTACAAACACACAATATATTCCAAATGGTTTAATTTAACAAGTCAAAACCTTATCATTAAGCACTTGAGATCTTGATACATATTCAAGTTACACATCTAAAAGGTTTCCACTTTGCAAGCAAACACGGTAATGCAGACACCGATTTATGAAATCATGTAAAATGGTTATTCACACACCTCTCCCCACCACGGATGCTCAAGAATCAACATTTTTCAAGGGGTTATTCAAGCAAATAACAACCACAGTTAAAACATTTTTGCTTTTCCAATGATTTGCAGGTAAATATGTGTGTGAGGCTGATGGATTTTGGACGAGTGCCAAAGGAGAAAAATCCCTCCCAGTTTGTGAGCCTGGTAATGGACGCATTTATGAAAGACTCATAGCAGATAAGAATAGATGGAGGACAACAGGCAGAGTCTGCTGGGGCAGGCAGACAAGGAAGCTCAGCATCTGGCTCAGTTTAGGCTAACATAACCCCCAATAAACAGTGCTTTCAATAGTACACCTTTGCTAGCTGTTAGCTAGCTGCATCACTCATTTGATTATTTTTGACCTTATGACTATGCAAACATAAAAATGTTAAATGATTTCTTAAATTATTCTTAAATTATCTGAAACCATTTATACATTTATAAACACAAATTCTTGTTACTTTCCTTCTCTATAAAAATGCTATTAAAACCCAAAGCTAATAACTTCATTATTTCCCTAAGCAATTGTCTTCAATAACATCTAAGTTTTAAAAACATTAATGTAATTTGCCTTTTAATAGTGTTCAATTTTTTTAACCAGAGTTGGCTCCAACAATAGTTGAGAATGCTCTTTAAAAAAAAAAAAAAGGAAAGGTAATAATATACTCATTACCCCCATGTTAGCTGGCTGAAATTAGTTTTCCAACCCTGTATTTGGTGGAGATGCTGCTTAAGTTTTAATCAAAGTGCAAGACCATATTAAACATATGTTGCATTAGTTTGCAGTAGACACTGTAAACTTAATGTTTAGAAGACTCAACCACACCAAAACTACAAATTTAGAACCTTGGTTCTGGTTATTGCTGCAACATAATTTTTAGTAGTTTTATAGTGAAAGGCAATAGTAATTTTGTAAATTACTTCCCAGAATTCCTAGAACGTAGGGAAAAAGCAATGCCAAGTGAACACCTGACCTTTTGTCTCGATTCTGTGTGCACAATTCCTGTCTGTACTGTCTATAGCTTCCCTATTTTAGTTTCCTTTTAGCAAAACCTATTCTGTGAAACCTTTGTATTGAGAAGGATCAAATCAACTATACAAGGACTTACCAAGTCTTTAATTTGCCCAGAGAGGATGCCTGCCTGCCCATGCATGGGATGTAAGTTGGTTGACACTAAAGACTTTCTTGCTCTTTCCTCAGTTTGTGGGCTATCCACACTCTCTACAGGAGGCCGGATATTTGGAGGGCAGCACGCGAAGCCTGGTGACTTTCCTTGGCAAGTCTTATTACTGGGTGACACTGTAGCAGCAGGTGCCCTTCTACATGACAACTGGGTCCTAACAGCTGCACATGCTGTGTATGGGATGACAGAGGCAGCATCCTCCCTGGACATTCGCATGGGTATCCTCAAAAGGCTCTCACCTCAGTACACCCAAGCCTGGCCTGAGGCTGTCTTCATACATGAAGGTTACAATCATGGTGCTGGTTTTGACAATGACATAGCACTGATTAAACTCAAGAACAAAGTCACAATCAATAGAAGCATCATGCCTGTTTGCCTGCCAAGAAAGGAAGCTGCATCCTTGATGAGAACAGACGGCATTGGAACTGTGGCTGGCTGGGGGTTAACCCAGAGGGGGTTTCTTGCTAGAAACCTCATGTTTGTGGACCTACCGATTGCTGACCATCAAAAATGTACTTCTGCATATGAAAAGAAACTCTACCCTGGAGGGAGAGTAACTGCTAACATGCTCTGTGCTGGCTTAGAAACTGGTGGCAAGGACAGCTGCAGAGGTGACAGTGGAGGGGGATTAGTATTTCTAGATAATGAAACACAGCGATGGTTTGTGGGAGGAATAGTTTCCTGGGGTTCCATTAATTGTGGGGAGGCAGGCCAGTATGGGGTCTATACCAAAGTCATAAACTATATTCCCTGGATTGAGAACATAATAAGTAATTTTTAACTTGCATGCTTCCAATTGGTAAATTATTTATTTTTACAAATACCTGGGAAAGCTCTTAGTTAATAGAAGCCAATTAGCATCCATGGCCCACCCCAAACAGAAAAGAACCAAACCATAGGCACATATCACTCGCCAATGTTTATCTTCGCCACTGCCCCCCCAAGGCAAGTACTGGTTCCAAAACATCCAATCATTTCTCTTTTAAAAGGTAAATTGAAAGTGGGTATGATTTTCCTATTAAAACCAACACAATTTTTGTTTCTACTTCTAGAATACAATATTTTACCATATTTCTTTTACCAAGCTATCAGATGGAAACATGGAATAGTATTTTACCCCTCAAAAGGGTGATTTAGCAATCCATTTCAAAAGCCTTAGAAAATTGTGTAATGTAGCAGACAACTCAACCTTTTTCTGCTTCTGCCAATCAAATGCTTAGGGATTACAGGGATGTGACACCACACCCCATTTTTTATCCGGTGTTCACAATCACAGTGCTTTGGGCGTGCTAGCTAGGTAAGATAAATTCTGATGTCACCCCCTTTCCCCCAAATGCCACCTTTGAGATAGCCTGTGTAGTCTAGGCTGACCTGAAATTTACCATTCTGTCTTAGCTTCCCTAGTGCTGAGTATTAAGTGTGTGCCACACTATACCTGGACCATTTCTAAACTAGCACAAATTAACTTGGGCACAGGTGAGCCAAACAGATCAGAGATGTCACAAGAGCAGAAAACTACACAGTAGACCCAGTCTCACGTAACAGGAATTTGCCATCAAACAACAGATTTTCTCCTAAGATGTTGCCTCAAATCTTAAAATTGTCACATTTGGTTGTACTAGGTTCTTCCAAGTTTTTGAAAGGTCTCACAATTGCCTGAAACTCAAATGTGCATGCCTCAATTTCTGGGATTAAAGGCATCTGCCACCACACCCACCTGGAGACACATTTTTAAAGGCTGAAAATGCTGTACTGTGTCTTCCCACATTAGTCACTGTTTAACTTTCTAGCATCTTTGCCATGAAACAAATGTTTTTCCATTAAGACTCCAGACACTAAACTGTTGGTGGCAAGAAAACTTTTTATTCAACTGTGATTGAAAGATTTCTCTTTTAATGAATGAATGCATTTTGATGACCAAATAGACTTTCAAAACCAAATCTTTGCCAAGTAGTTTATTTCTAAAACTTCATTTAGGGCAAATAACTATCTACAGCTACGTCATACCATCAACATGTTAAAAGGCTTCTCGACATTGAAAGCCTTCCATGACCAGTAACTTTAACAAGTGCAAACAAGGGATCAAAACCATGCCATCGACAAGTGACTTACCCCAGGACTCCTGGACGGCTTGCCAGTTTAGTCTTTGGAGATCCCCGAAAACCATTTTAATGTTACCATGTTACTGCTGCTGAGTAATAGTGCAAGTGCTAAAATGCAAAATTCAGATGTACAGGGTTTGGAAATCATGCAGATTTAGATGCAGAAAAAAATTTACAATAACTCAAGATCCTTTTACAGAGGATACTGAATAATGAAACACCGTGTTCATAACAAGTCTCTAAAGGATATAAAATTTTAAAACATGCAACTTGCAAAACGACAAACCTATTTATCATAATCTAATTCAGGTAAGGGCATTAGGAAAACTACCAACACAAAAATGGTCACGTTTCCAGTTAGAAAAGGAGCTCCCCAGTTCTCAGTAGTTACAGGAAAATTACAACAATCAAGGTATTATTGCTTTTACATTCTTACAATGCACTGTGAAGTAGATCTACTCTGACTTTATGAACCTCATATGGCCCCCACACCCCAAGGGTAAGAGCCCACTTCACTTAAGACTGCCACAGGCAGACAATCCTCCCCACTAGTTCTTAAAGCTATCAGGCTTCATAATGATTTCAGGCACACGGTTTCTTGTTTCTTCTATTTCATCCCTATTGCAATTAATTCCACTTTTCAAAGCCCAGACAGAAAGATGCTTATCCCTTATTTCCATTGATATGGTCTGCTACAAAGCATTTGAAAACAACGGTTTTGCACCCCCTTTCCCAAATAGTACTTTTAGAAGGCATGATTTCCCAATGGATGGTTCTACATCCATGTCACTAGAAAAATCACTCAAATGCACAGAGGCACTCAGAACAAGCTGGAGGGTAACTGCTTACCATTTTAGGGTCTGTCACCCAGACTTATGAAAAACTAGATTAAGAACAAAACAACCCATGAAAAAAAAACTTTCACTTTGGACAATGCAAGAACAAATAGCAATTAAGTCTGGGTATCAGGTGTCAATGCATGACAGGTGATGAATCCATTTGACTTGAGACAACTTTTCAAATAAGTTTATTTGAAGCAAAATAAACTACTGCCAAGAAACTTTATGAAAGTTCCATCTCAAAAGGGTCAAAAAGGGGAATTAACTGCTATGAATTCTTTGCATTCAGGGCTGCAAAACAAAGACACATATTATTTAAATCAGTTTTATTTAAGAATTTCCAACAATGACAACTCTTATAAAAAGCATCCAAGCACAGGACACAGAACTGCAGCAAACAGCATTCTTATGGTAGCTAACAGACATGAGAACGTCCACCCTCTTTGAGACACCCGAGCTCACTGGTGAACTCTGCTTCCAAGTTCTCCTGCAAAGCACACCACAAGCTCAGTCCATGTTCGCAGCCCATCAGCTTCAGTTCACGTGCCCACACTTCCAGATCAGTAACAGAGGAGAACACACACCATACAGCATTCACAGCAGTTGACAAGAGGGGAGGGAAGTACAAGTATTTCACTTAACACATTCAACTAAAGTGGGTTTTCTAAGAACAAAACTCAAAGTCTTCCAACAGATGTGGATGTCCTTTGATGCAAAAACATTCGTACTTTATTGGCTATCATTGCTCTCTGCACACTCTCACCAAAGCCACAGGTTGGGTGACACATCTCTCCAAGTTAAAAAATATCCATTTTGCACCACCAAGTCTCTGCACGCGCTCTCTCCTTTCCTCGCTCATACTAGCCTTTCATGCCTCGGCACCACCATCAATCCCACACAAGGTTTCAAAAGTTCAAACAGCCTTCTGGTTCCATATCACAGCCTTGCGTTCATAGCGTTGATACGACTCCATGAAATAAAGAGTAGCGGATAAAAATGGAACACCCACCGTCAAAGACGCAGCCTGTGCAGCGTGATGACGAATTCTTGGATGAGAAAGCATGTAGACAGAAGTATTCCTATGGCAGAGTATTTACAGCACTACTTTCAATGAAGTGCTTCTTCCATAAACATTTGAAATGAGATGAACTGCAGAGATTAAATGAAGGCTTCATATTGTACTTTCGTATATGAAGGAAGGCAAGTGTTAAAAACAAAACCAAAAGAACCAAACACCATGACATCATGATCTCCCAAATGGAGATTTTCCTAAGGAAAAAATTCATAGGGTGGGATCCAAATTAAAATGAGAAAAGAATGTAGTTCTAACCAATGGCTTCTACTCTGAACATGCAAACAAATCCATTTAACAAGTCCAATGACAGATTATTACAGAGAAACCTTCTGAGATCAACTGTAGTGTTGGTTTACCAATTAGGCAAACAGCAGTTCACTTTCACCCACTCAGTATTTTAACCCTTTATATAACAAAACTTATAAAATTCATTTAGCTTTTCCTCTTTTTCTAAAGAAAAATGTCAAAAATACTGCTGAATATACTCCACACTGAACAAACCAATCTGAAAATTTTTAGTACATATGTATTTTACAATATACTTACCATGAGTTTAGAAAAATTCGAATCCCACCATTCTAGACCTACCTATCAACCGACCAACCCACCACCACCCACTGCCTACATGCCCCAGCCAGAGGATTTAGAATCCATGCTTGAGCCAAAGCCGCCATTAAAACCACTGCCCGACCCTGCATTTGATGCCGACCCCCAACCAAGAGGGGCACCAGAGTTAGAACCACTGTAGGAATTATTTCCAGAACCAAAAGCCTGATTTGGTTCCCTCTGCATGCTGCCCTGGCTTTGGTTATTACCAGATGGACCTGACTGGTTCTGCTGGCTGGCTAACATGCCCATCATACCCCAACTGCTCTGCAATGCTGCCTGGGCTGCAGCCATCATCGCTGGATTAATGCTAAAAGCTCCGAAGTTCATTCCTCCACCCATGTTGCCACCCTGGTTATTTCCCAAGCCAGCACCACCCCCTCTACTGTTGCCAAACCCACCCTGATTCCCAAAGCCACCTGGATTACCACCAAATCTTCCACTTCTTTCTAACTGTCTATTGCTATTATGCTTAGGTTCAGCATTGGATATATGCACGCTGATTCCTTTAATGATCAAATCCTCTCCACAAAGGGACTGGGCAACCTATAAGAAACAAGGGATGTAAATGGTAATTAAACCACCAACTTATACAACACAGCAATAAAACCAAAATCTTAGTATATAACCCATCTAAGCAGAAGGAAAAATAAGCAATTAACGCTAATTTCACTTTGGTAATGTTATCATCAACATTTGTAATTAACATCTGAATAGCCCCGAAGTCCACATAAGGACAAATATCTGAAGGGCATGGTATAACAGAGAGGGTAGCCACATTTTCCATGCTGGAGACTGAACTCAGCACTTGATGTGCATTGTGGGACATATATGTTAGCCCCAAATCAGATAAACTCCCCGCCCTGGAACAAATAAACAAGAAAAATACCTTATCATCTGCAAAGGTAACAAAGGCAAAAGCCCTAAATGGCTTGGGAATGAAGACGTCTACCACTTCTCCATACTGGCAGAAGAACTGTTGAAGCTCTTCAGCAGTCATGTCTTCTGTACAACGCCCAACAAACACTTTTCTGCTTCTCAAAGGCTCATCTGGGCTTTGCTGGTCAAAAGGAATAGTAGAAATAAATACAAAAAGGGCATATTTTATTATTGTACCCCCTGACCCTGTGTTTTGCCTTTGAGACAGGTTTCACTGTCTATCTCTGGATGGCCTGTGCCTGAGTGCTGAGATTAAAGGTGTGTGCCCCTTGGGATCTAAAATACAAGGATGTGTACTTTGTTTTCATGCATCTATGTGAACCAAGCACATGTCTGATGCCCTTTAAGGTCACAAGAAGGTATTGGGTCACTCAGAACTGCAGTTAGTTGTGTGCTGCCACATGGGTGCTGAAAACTGAACCAGCCCAGCCTTTCTCCAAAAAACAACAAGCAATACCAATTAACTTCTTCGTCTCATTTCTTCTGGAGTTTAAAACAGGCTCTCCCTGTGTGAGGACAATCTGGAACTCCTGATCCCTTTACTTACTACCTCCCATACGCTAGAATTTTAGGAATGCAACACTATGCTGATTTCATTTCAATTTCTTTTAAGAGACCATCATGTACACATCTGGGATTGATGTTAGCCATCTTCCTTAATCACTCCCCACCTTCCTTTATGAGGTTGGGTTTCCCTGAACTTGTATTTTGGCTTACTGGTAGCCAGCAAGCTCCATGAATTAGCCTGCCTCCCATGTCCAGGGACAGGATTACAAGCACATCCTACCACACCCAGCTCCTTTAGAAACAAAGAAAAATCTGGCTGGGAGTAGTAGCACAGAACTTCAGGCAGTGGGCTAACCCCAGCACTTCGAAGACAGAGGCATACTGATCTGTGTGAGTTTGAGGCCAGCCTGGTGTACAGAGTGAGTTCCAGGCCAGGGCTATGCAAAATAAAGATGTGTTCCCAGATGAAATTCAAACCCTCATGCCTGAGGGTAAGCACTTTAAGGACTGACCTATCTTCCCAGTCCAAATAAAGTTTTAAATTATGAAAGTATATGCAATATTCCAGATAATTAAGCTGGGTATTGGTGGTGCATGCATTTAATCCCAGTATACGGGAGACACAGGCGGGTGGATCTTTGTGAGTTTGAGGCCCAGCTGGCCTACAGAGCTAGTTCCAGGACAGGCTCCAAAGCTACAGAGAAACTCTGTCTCAAAAAAAAAAAAAAAAAAAAACAAACAAACCCAACATTCAGCTAGGTGACGGTAGCCCACACCTTTAATCTCAGCAACCGAAAAGCAGAAGCAGGTAGGTGGATACTTAAGTTTGAGGCCAGCCAAGGCTACAGAGAAACCTGCCTTGGAAAACAAACTTTCCCTGCTGTCAATATTTCCAAGTGCACTTAACATTTTAATTTAAGGTCTTTTAAGAAAAAAATCACCCAAGCATACAGGAAAACAGAGCAATACCTTAGAATTTGGAAGTTTACAATCACACCATCGCCCATCTATCATATGTCGCTGTGACATTACTTTCACTTGGGTTTCATATTCAGTAAATCGAACAAAGCCAAACCCCTTTGAGTGACCAGTTTTAAGATCTTTCTTGACCTAAGGAGAGACAACTGAAATTTATTCTAATACCACACATACATTAGAGTTCACATAGAATCTTGAATGGCTTCAATGGAATGAACATTAAAGTTAATAAAGTTAGTTCAATGCAAAATTGATAGGGAATTGCATCATTAATGGAAGAGAATGAATTGACTCATGATAGAACTTAACAATGTTTTACAATGAGCATAAATAGAAATAAGACCTAATATTTCCTTTAAACCAGTAATTATAGTTCATATTACGGTGACCCCCAACCATGTAACTATCTTTGGTGCTACTTCCTAACAAGGTTGCTACTCTTATGGCCATAGACACAGAACAAACAGAAAGTTGTTACCCAGAATCAAGTTTACCTGAACCATAAGAACCTCTCCAAAAGTACTGAAATAGTCTTTCAGGTCTTGCTCTGTTGTTTTCCACGGGAGACCCAGCACGATGAGGTCGGATGTTTTCTGGACTGCTCTTTTCACTTTGACTGCCGAAGAAGCATCTGTCTCATCCATTTTCCTTTTGTTATCTAAACAAAGCAAGCAGAAACCTATAATTAGCAGATCTTTAAAGACAGGCGGAGCTCTGTGGGTCCAAGGCCTGCAGGGTCCACTAGCTAGTTCCCGGATAGCCAGGGCACACAGAGAAACCCTGTCTAGAACCACCCCCACCCCCAATTCTAGTTTTATATTGAAAAACGGATCTGTGTACTATGAAAAAGTGCCGCGTACAGCATTTGTAAGTAGTTTCTGGCCTTCTGTCCTGTTAGGCAGGGTGCTGTTTGGGAAGACTGCACACCTCTGCAACTGGCTTTAGTGGGTTCTAGAGACAGGCTGCCCTGTTTGCTCTGCAAGTGTCTTTACCGAATCAGTTACCTCCTTAGCCCAGGATCTGAATAATGTAGGATTGTAAAAAAAAAAAAAAAAAAATCAACTGCATGTTCTCCTCAAAACCTGTATCTAAACCAACACAATTTTCCTTCATTTTAATTTTGTGGCATTGAATGTATCTGACTGATTCAGGGGATCAGACACCCTCTTGTGATGCACAAGGCAGACAGAAAAATTACCCTTTTAGAATTGTTTATTTCCACATATAAATTTGGGTGCTTTTTGTCTTACCCAGACTTTCGCAACACTGCTTGCTTACAGAGATGGGGCTCATTACGCCACCAAAACTGGTCTCAAAGAATCTTCTTTGCCACCCTCCCTGCAGTTATTATGTCTGTGTGACACCTCAGTCAACTAAATGCCAGACAAACAATCTTTAAATCATCCCAAATTTTTCTTTTCCTCCTTTTTTGAGATAAGGTTGCTGTGTAACAGCCCTGACTGTCCTCCAAGAGATCTGCCTGTCTCCTGAGTTACTGGCCCACCCAAATTTCTTATACATATATTAGTTTTTGCATATTGACCAACTTTGGTCGACTGACCTTGGTTGTTTGAGATGCCTTGCTATATATAAATCAGGTTGACCCAAACATACATACATATATATCCCAGACTGGCCTTAAGCTCTCAATCTTTCTGCCTCTCCCCCTCCCCTCAATGCTGGGATTATAGGTACATGCAGCACTTTGTTGCAATATCACTAAGTAAAAAACAACAATATACCAATTCCTATGCAACCTCTTTTTGGTTTTTCCCGAGGCAGGGTTTCTCTATTGCTTTGGAGCCTGGCCTTGAACTCAGAGATCTGCCTGCCTCTCAAGAGTGCTGGGATTAAAGGCATTTTTTTTTCAAGACAGGGTCTCTGTATGTAACCCTGTCTGTCCCCAAACTCGAGAGCCACTTGCCTTAGCTTCCTTGAGTGCCAGGATCAAAGGGGTGTGCTATCAGACCCTGGCAGTGAAGGCCTTTAATCCCAGCACTTGGGAAGCATATCCCCCCTGTGAGTTCAAGGCCAACCTGGTCCATGGAGCTCCAGGACAGGCTCCTAAACTACAGAGATACCCTGTCTTGACAAACCTAAAAAGAACATCGGGAATAAGAGGCAGGGAAAATAAGACTGGAACCTTAAAACTAAAGTAGTCCTGTACTAACCCAAGATTTGGGCCACCACAAGTGATGTTTATTTAAGAATGGAAGAGATTAATTCAAACAAGGGAGCCGGAGGTCAAAAGCACCTGCTCCTCTTTTGGAGAATCAGGGTTTGGCTCTCAGCACCCACATGGCCATGCACAGCCATCCAACTCCAGTCTCAGGTCAGATGCCCCTTTGCACCAGGCACACATGGTGCAGATGTGAGAAAGCCTGGCCTACCGACACACACCTTTGAGCCCAGTTCAGACAGTTACAAGTAGTCCTGTGGGTGCTGGGAATTGAACCAGGACCTATGGAAGAGCAGCCAGTGAGTGCTCTTAACCACTGAGCTGAGCAGTCTCTCCAGCCCTTAAGGCATTTCGTTTTAATAGCTTAAATTTGGCATCAAATTGGCAACAACTGTTTCAATGGCTAAACATTTAAATAGGTAATCTTAAGAAAGAGCCCTGCAATTTTCAATTACCAGTTAAGACTGGGGGGACCTGCCAGAGTGGTCTAAGCAAAGTTTAAAAGTGGATCGTAGGAGAAATTTTTGCCATGAAAGCCAAACCCCAGGGATGGAGTTCAATAGACTACTTGCCTGGCAAACACGAAGCCCCACACACAAATAATTTACAACTTAGGATAGCATACAAGCCCAACTGTAGTCAGTAATACTGCAAGAACCAAAATGATTAACAAACCTTTGGGATAGTTGACAACATATACCAGATTGCCCCAGCCAGCATCCGGGGCATGCAGAATTCCTTCCACCAGCCGGACACCCCTCATACACTGAGACACTGGGTTCCGGTATCGGAGGCCACATGCCCCTGGGAACTGGGCTGTAACTGTGGACAACAATACCGTCCCATCATCTTCTGACGGTATTTCAATAGGTTCATCGTTCTCATCTTCGGTTACCCGGATATATTCAGACATCTTTGCTTAATTTTCTAAAGGAAAGGGAGAAATGAATGACCAAAAGAGGAGCAATTATCTCTTTATAGTTAGCAACACCACCCTATTCCCACTTCCTCAAAGATTCTCGCCACCTGAAAGGTGGTAAGGTGGTGTTTCATCTGTCATCCCTGAAAATTGAGGAAAAGGAGCTAGCTTTCCAAAACAAAACTATGATTTTCAATTTTTTTTTTTTTTGCCAATTCACTTATTTCTCAGGGCTTGCTATATGTTTCAGGTGCTAAAATGCTAACAGTACCACCACGTGACCTGTTGGAATAAAAACTAAGTGTTACGGAACTAAGTAATCCTGTCCCGACTATTTCTCTTGCAAACACCGTTTTCTCAACTGGAGCGCAAAGATTACAGACTACAACATTTTCTCACCATCTTGAACTAATGTATTCTAGGGTTTAGCACGTGCTTTAAGTGGGTGAAGGAGGGACGCAACAACGGCTTTCATCTTGTGCTGGTGGAGCACGGGCAACCGACGATGAATGAGAACCGAGCCTCTGTCCTCCTCTGCCCCTTGTTTTCGGAGAGGGACAGCTAAACTCGGGCGTCGAGGGCAGCAACGACAGATGCTCCGTGATGTAGGCCACCACTTCCCAGAAGGCCATGCGCCATGGACGACGTTGACTTCTATCTCCCCCCCCCACACCTTCAAGTCGGCCTGGGGTGGGGCCGCGAGAGGACGCGCGCGGCCCACGGTGGCAACGACTGTTCTCAAATGCGAAAACGCGAAGGGAAGAAACTGCTCGAGTGCCGGGGTGGCGGCAAACTTCCGCGCACGGCCTCACGGCCCAGCGGGCTCGGCGCCCCGCTCCGCCTGCCGCCCGCGCTAGGCCCTAACGACGCGGCGGCGCAAGGCCAACTAGGCCCCGCTGCCCAGCTCCCTTCCCGCGGCCCGGATCGGCCCCGGCCTCCCACGGTGCAACAGCCGAAGCACGCGGGCCGCCCTCGGCTAGCAACTCACCCACTAGGCCGCTGCTGGGAAGCACGAAGAGGAAGCGGAGACGGCGAGGAAGCCGATAGCAGCCGAGCTTGCCGCTTCGTGCCCACAAAATGGCGCTAGGGCCGCCTCCCGCCCCCGCCCGCCTTCGGCCTCTCCCACGTGCTTCCGGTCGGGAGGGGGGGCTCCCTTGGCGGAGCCACCGTCGCTCTCCGCTCGAGGCCGCTCGGATCCGAGCAGGCGCCTGAGCACGCATAGAGGAGGAGTAGAGCACAGAAGGGACCGCGGCTGCGTCTGAGAAGCAGATAACTGGGGAAAGTGTGGCCGCGTAGGCCTTAGCCTCCCCCCCACGCGACGTGGCAGGTGGTTTCGTCCGACCAACCGCCGGCCCTAGCGGCGGAGCTCGCGCTCACGGAAAGTGCGCGAGACTAGCGCAGGCCGGGAAGAGCGAGGCGTGCCGGCGCAGGTGGGGCGGGGCTACGAGGGAAGGGGCGGGGCCAGGAGGCGGGCGGGGCTCGAGCGGGTCGGGGTCCGGGTCGCGGGCGGCAGGTCTCCCTGGGAACCCTGGCTTCCCAGTCTGAACGCTGCTGTTAAGTCTTCTGCCGTTGCTCGGTAATTTCCAAACGTGCAAACACTTAATTTTGGTCTACAGAATGGTCGCTGCCCTAAGCACTACTTTGTGTCAGGCACCCTTCTGCCCCTGTCTGGCTCTAGGAAAATAAAAAACAAACCAACCAACCAATAAACAAACAAACAAAAAAACCCAACAGAACTTTGTGACTCGCAGACAAGTGTTCTACCATTGACCTTCGGGTTGTGCTTGTCCGTTGGAGTTTTCAGAGTAAGGGATAGTCTGCCACCAAGTACTGTTTTAGAGACAGGGACCTCAAAGTCATTGTGTAGCCCAGGCTGTCCTTTAACTCATCACGGCTCCCCGTGCATCCCCAGCCTCCTAAATGTTGATGTTGCCCTAGCAGTCTGATGTGATGCTTAATACTATCCTCTTCGTTAAATGAGGAAACTGAGGCACAAAGTAATTAAGTACCTTGCATAAAATCACCAAGAGAGTTAAGTGTCCACCCTAGGGTTTGAATCCTACAAGGAAAATACTTGAAGGTTTTAGTCTTTCAGTTGGCTCTACCAACAAGTTGCCAGCTGGAGCTCCTTTAGCTACAATTTAAATTTCTTGGTGCATATGTGTATCACATCCAAAGCTTAGGTGAAAAGGTTTACACTGTGACAGGGTTTACACAGTTTTGCAGAACAGGATGGTCATGAACTTGCAGTGATCCTCTTGCCTCGGTCTCCTGGGGGCTGGATTTAGGGAGATGCCATCACGCCAGGCTGAGTCTCCCTTCTTCAGATTTATATACGAACTCATTTCCTCTTTGCAACCCTAAGGAGATAGCCATTGTCAGAATGGAGCTTAACGGCTGGCCCCAAACTCCTTTTATAGTCAGGCTGGCCTGGACCTCCTGGGCAACCCTGCCTCAGCCTACTGAGAGCTGGGAATGCAGGCATGAGTCCTTCTCCCCAGTATCATTTACTTATTTTGTTTTTCCAGACAGGGTTTCTCTGCAAAGCCCTGGCTGTCCTGGAACTCACTCTAAACCAGGCTGACCTCAGACTCACAGAGATCTGCCTGCCTCTGCCTCCCAAATCCTGGGATTAAAGTCGTGGACCACTACGGCCAGCCTTTTTTTTTTTTTTTTTTTCCTTCAAGCCCTGGCTGTCCTGGAACTCTGTAGATCAGGCTGGCCTCAAACACACAGAGATCTGCCTCCCAAGTGCTGGGATTAAAGGCTTGAGTCACCACTCCTGGCTCAAATTTTATAACTTTTAAATAATTTTTTAGACTTTGTTTATATTTTGTATATGTGTGTCTCTGTGTGATATGTGTGGCCAGGTACCCCAGGAGACCAGCAGGTATTAGAGCTCCTGGAGTTGGATTTATCAGAGATAATGACTTATTTTGAAAATTTCAAAGCCTGTTTTGGTGATGCACCCCTTGGTCCCAGATTTTTGAGGTACAGGCAGGTTGATCTCTGAGTTTAAGGCCAGCCTGGCCTATATAGCTAGGTCTAGACCAGACAGGGCTACTAAAAAGGGGCTGGAGAGATGGCTCCGATGTTAAGAGAATTGTCTACTACTCTTGCAATGAAACCCTGGGTTCGGTTCCCAACACCCACATCTGTCATCTCTCAGCGGCCTGTAACTCCTGCTCCTGGGGATCTGACACCCTTTTCTGGTCTCTGTGACCTGAACTCAGATGCACAAACCCATACTCAAACATATACATATAACAAAAGTAACTTTTTGTTTATTTGGTTTTTCTTTTCTTTGTTTTTTGTTTTGCTTTGTTTTGTTTTTTGAGACAGGGTTTCTCTGTAACCACTCTGGCTGTCTTGGAACTAGCTCTGCAGACCAGGCAGGCCTTGAACTCACAGAGATCTGTCTGCCTCTGCTTCCTGAGTGCTTAGATTAAAGGTGTGTGCCACCATTGCCCAGCTGGTTTCTTCAAGACCGGATTTCTTTTCTTCTCTCTCTCTCTTTCTCTCTCTCTCTCTCTTTTTTCTTTTCTTTTCATTCTCAAGACAGCCTTTCTCTGTATAACAGTCCTGGCTGCCCTGGAACTATCTTTGTAGACCAGGCTGGCCTCAAACTCACAGAGACCCACCTGCCTCTGCCTCCCAAGCATTTGCCACACTACTTCTGGCTATCTGGCTTTGTTTAGGTGGTTTTGTTTTGTTTTATTATTGTTGTTTTTGTTTTAGAATTATATTTCTTCCTGGGTGATGGTGGTATACATCTTTGATACCAGCACTTGTGAGAAAGAGACAGGTGGATTTCTAGATTCAAGGCCAGCCTGGTCTACAGAGTGATTTCTAGGATAGCCAGGATTACACAGAGAAACCCTGTCTTGAAAAACAAAAACAAAACAATTTCAGACATAAAAAGCACTTGAAGTGATAATACAGTGCATGCCAGCATAGCTGTCACACAGATGTAACTTGTAGGGCATGGAGGTATTTGTGCTCACAGACAAGCACTAGGGGAATCTGGAATGTTAATGCTACAGAGATGTTACTTCAAGGGAAGGAATTTGAGGCCTGTGATCCACCCAGAAGGCTGGGAATGGACATGCTCTGTAGCCTGGTGACCTTTGTACTATCTGTGAGACCTCACCAGACCCTCCCCTCAGACCCTCAAGAGCTTGTTTTTTCTAAAGAACCTATCTTTAACCTGAATTTTTTTAAAAAAGATTTTATTTATTATGTATACAGTGTTCTGCATGCTTCCAGGCCAGAAGAGGATCTCATTACAGATGGTTGTGAACCACCATATGGTTGCTGGGGCTTGAACTCAGGACCTCTGGAAGAACAGCCAGTGTTTTTAACCACTGAGCCATCTCTCCAGCCCCCATAACCTGAATTTTTTTTTAAAGGTTTATTTATTATGTATACAGTGTTCTGTCTGTATGCCTGCAGTCTAGAAGAGGGTGCCAGATCTCATTACTGATGGTTATGAGTCACTGTGTGGTCTCTGGGAATTGAACTCTGGACCTCTGGAAGAACAACCACTGCTCTAAACACTGAGCCATCTCTCCAGCCCTAGAACCTATCTTTTTGGAAAGTGTCACATGTACTTTACAAAGAGTTTTGATGTAGTCACGTCTGATCTACAGCTTACTTTGTTCTTTACATGAGACTGAGTTAATTATCACCAGAAAAGTTTTCACCAAATTGGACCGTGCTTAACTATGCATAAAATAAAGCACTTGGGATCAGACTCTCACTCTTGAAGTTTGAAACAGCCACCACCTACTGAGCTGCGTCTAACCAAACTGCCTTCTCGCTTCCCCAGGATCAGCTCTGCTGGCTGTGGAGGTCACAGAGACCCCTGCAGTAACTGGCCAATATGTTATAATATCTGCTTATGAGTACGCATAGCCACCGTGTGCCCACTCTCACTTCCCCCCGCCCAGGGCACTTGAAGGCAAGACATCCATTGCAACATTCAGCCCTCTTCTCCCCCAAACAGGGTAACCCTCCTGCATGACTATCTAGCAGGTGGCCCTGGTGGTACAGGCTGTAATCACAGCTACTCAGGAGCCTAAGGCGGTGAAGTGGAACGAGGTAGAAAAGACCAGTTGTTAGCTGCTGTTCTATCTTGTATTGATTTATTTTGTGACTGGCTTAAAGCACTGCTTGTACTCCTGTCGCCTGGCATGACTTAACTTGCTCCCTGGAACAGAGTGGCCTGGAGAAGTAGCCGAAACAATAGGTCCTTTCCCGCTGTCAGTTTACAGTCTGTCAACGGTAACACTTGTCTTTGAAAACCAAAAGTTAACTGCACAGTACGTTTCTGTTTGCTTGCTCACCCCCCCCCCCTTTGTGGTTCTAGAGTATAAAATGAGACTCTTGGGAGTTAATTCAGCTTCAGTCCACTGATGACATTTCCTCTCTTTTCTTCCTCCTCCCCCTCTTCTTCTGGTTTTGACAGGGTCTCCCTCCTGAATGCTAGGATTAAGGTGTGTGTCACACCACCTGGCTTGCTCGCTTGCTCTGTCCCCCCACTTCTGTTTTGGAGATAAGGTCTCACCAGATAATTCTTGCTGGCCTGGAACCCCCAAGCATTTTTGAAAGGCAAAATAGTTTCCAGATTAAAAAAAGTCTCTTTTCAAGCTGGGCAGTGGTGGAGCACACCTTTAATCCTGGCTCTCCAGAGACAGAGGCAGGTGGATATCCGTGAGTTCAAGGCCAGCCTGGTCTGCAAAGTGAGTTCCAGGACAGCCTCCAAAGCTACACAGAGAAACCCTGCCTTGAAAAACAAAACAAGTCTAGTTTCATCATGATATACTTCCTTTTTGATTTCCTGCCTAGAACCTGCCAGAATAAAGGCATACTTCCCTTATTTGGTGTAGGTCTTAGGTTTTAAAAGTCATTTTTGTAAGGGGCAGAAAGATGGCTCAGGGGGAAACCTCTTCCAGAGGACTGGAGTTTGGCTCATAGCCACCCTATCTCCAGCTCCAGGAGATCTGATGCTCTCTGTTGGCCTCCATGGGTATTACACCCATATGGTGTATGTACATAGACCTCTTACACAATACACATAAAGATAAAATAAATCTAAAAAGAAAAAAAAGAGCAAGGCAGTGGTGGTGCTGGTGCACCGTAATC